CACTAGAAAAGACCGCAACTACAATTGTTATATGGTTTCTACCATTCTTTTCTAGATTTACAATGATCAGACACTACCACTTTCTCTAGTGTAATTCTCCTACAAGAACCACCACACTCAGAACCTTCAGTCTACTCTGGTGGAGCAACACCGCACAAAAATTGTGTGCAACCACAAACAGACACTGCCACTTTGAGCCCTTCTTGCAAGTGTAGTATGCAACGAACACACCACTAGATCTCACTATATGGCTGGCGGGACAACATCACACATACAACCTGTGTGTATCTCCCAATAAAGCTCTGGATGTGTCAACCTGTTTCCATCAACACATCCTCTCTTTTATATTAGCAGCTTCACCCCAAAACCCTAATCTTCTTAACCTTTGGGTAAAGCTCTTCTCCCCTGATGTCAACTTGAGCCATACCTACTCTGACACACGAAGTTTCTAAGTCTGAACCAGACATCCTATGACACCTGTCCTTGTCACACAGTTCTTCCTGTTCCACTCAGCATACTTGGGTCTGAAGCAGCCCATGTGACTTTCCTTAATCACTCAAGCCCACATACCTCTTCATGCCTCTTCTTTTAATAGAATTCCACATGTATTCCTTTCTATTGGATATTCTCAATAAGACTCCAATCCCTTCACATCATCACTTCAAGACTCGTGACTTCAAATCTTCTTGAATACATCTGTTGCTCTTTCTTGTGTCACGAGACAACCCTTGTATCACACATGCAATGTTTGTTCTTTCATTATCGAGGTCTTGACACCTTTTGATGAAACTAGCAAAAGAAGGACACAAGGCTGCGACTTTGCTCTGGTCATCATTCACCCGCGACTTGTAGTATTGGTATATTGATTTAGTGATATAACAGTATTTTCTTATAGTCTCACTCTCACCCAACCCCTGTGTCCTCAGCACATCAAATTCCTCCAGAATCCATGTTGTGAAATAACTAAATCATATAGATGAAACACAAACGTGGTCCTCAATCTCAAAGGAAAAAAGCACAACCAATCAATATCTTCTGAAAGAAATAGAAATTCTTACGCCGTTTTTATGTTTTCTAGTGCATCAGATTGGTTTGGATCCCCTTCAAGAATTTATATTAGCTTTTTTAATCCTGATATCTATTTAGAATTGCAATATAAGAAGAAAATGATTAAATGAGAAACAACCTCAGCAAAAGATATGGTAAGTAGAGAATTCACACACATCAAGTCTAAGTTTGTCGACTTCTATATATATATATAATATTCAA